GCAGCAGCTTCCTAAGACCTGGTTCCTAGTTGGGTGACTCCAGCACCACCAACAGTGGTTCTCTCCAGAACATTGCCTAGGTAAGGCTTCCCCTGGGACAAATCGGGAGGACCTGGGGGAGGAAAGGGCACCAACCCACAGGGGGGCCCGGACGTTGGGGAAGCATCCAGTGGCGACGGGAGAAGCGGCCAGCAGCCCGGGGCTGGGAGCAGCCTAGCAGATTCCAGGCAGGGGTTCCTGTGTGCCGGGCCAGCAGGCCGCTGGGTTGGGCCTGGGACGGCCTGCATGCAACGCAGGCGCTCTGTGGCAGAGCCGCAGCACTTCCCGGAAGCCCGGGGCCTTGGCTCGGAGCCTCTCCAGGGAAGGGGCTGCTGCAGGGGCTGGGCAAGCAACAGCATTTCCAAATCAGACGTTCTGTGCAATGGGAAGGAAACAGTGGAAAATAGAGGTGTAAGGCAGGCTGTGATCAGATGGAGCACCAAGCTCAGGCTGCTCGCTTGTAAGCTGAAAAGGGCCGATCGGACGCCACTCTGGGATTGAACTTTGAATGGCCAGCAGGCGAGGCCTTGGGAGGATCTGGTAAATCTGGATGCTGACAGCAGATTTTGCCGTTTCCCCCCGCCAGAAACCCGACAAATAGCGTCTCCTGCATTGCTTTTGGTGTCCAGCGGCACCAATGTTTCCATTTGCCCTCCTAGCACAGTCATTCCATGACGCTGAAGGGTGGGGAATTCAGAAAGCACCAAGCCAAAACCATTTCATTTACCCAATATTTTAACCAGTTAGATTTTATCCTCATTTTTACTATATCTTATTGTTCCCCTGAATGAGGGATTTTGCACTATCCTCTATTGTCTTACGGTAGTTATTAGTGGGATAATTGTGTTCTTCTATGTGCTTTTATTATATGTGCTTCATATTAATCATGGTATTGTCAAATTTGTAAAGTACCCAGGGAGACTGCAAACCCTAAGAGAACAAACGCAGAGACCGAGGTGTGATTCTTTTCAGCCATTTTCTATGTGTCTCACCTAATGAGATTTAGAAGAGGAGGAGGAGAAGGTGGGCAGTGTCTGTGAGCATTGCTGGGAAGCTGAAGGAACTCATGTTATTCAATTCTCTTTTCCTGCATTGCTGTTTTGCCATAATGCCATAATAGGAACAATAAATCTCACAAGAGAAACATGCTATAAAGTAGTGTCAGGAGGAAATAGTAATATATATAGCAATACATTCATTTGCAACCCCCCATTGTCCCACAAGCGGAACTGGATCTCATGCAGACTTCATCCCAGCCCTCCTGCATGCAAGCGTCTCACTGTCACTGTGCTGGTCCTTCGTCATGCCCTGCACGCACGTCTTCTGTTATAGAAATAGCCTCTCTCTGGAAATATCTGCAAAAGGCAATAATTGCACACTTGTCATTCCCTGCTCATGGTTGTTGACGAGTTCTTTAGATGACAGCAAGTCCCTCCAGTTTCATTTCCGTGTCCCATGAGCACTTTCAATGAGTTCCTTTGTTAGGAACAGGAACAGCGCAGCGTTTAATTGCGGATCCAAAAAAAAAAAAAATTGATCTCCTCTTGAGTATTTGTGCTATCCCACTATACCAGAATGCCAGGCCAGGCAGCAGAAAAGCCAGAGATGGAATTGCCTACATGTAGTGCTCAGATCTCGATTCAGCTATACAATTTAAAGGAGCTGGAGTAGGTTAACAGTTGATTAATGGCCTTGCGTGAGGAAGCTGCCATGTTCTCTCTCCTCCCATGCTTCCCCCACCATGACTGTGTGAATGGTCCATTTCACAAAAGGGATGTTACAGAACTCAGCCAGTCAACAGCTCAGGGCGAGCCTGGGTGGGCCCCAGGCCCCAAGTCAAAAGGAGCCTGAGACGAGCCTTAGAGCCAAACCAGCCTCATTCTAGTGCACTATAGAATAAGGGGAGAGAAAAGGGGATACGCAGCCCAAAGCAGTGCCTTGAAAGTTGCACCCTGGTACATGCATTTTATTCCCAATTAGGTCACCTAATACACCTCTAATGCATCAATCCATCAGTGTAGCCATACCTCCACTGCTGTTGGCTTCAAAGAGTGCTTTCTCCTGTCAAGGACCAGATATTTCCCATACCTATTTCTTATCTGCTTGAGATTCACATAGGCTTGCCATGTTCTTACTCCCTCCACATTTGCAACTTTCATGGCGGCCATAACCAGTTTCCACTGTCCTGTTGATTACTGTCCTCGAGGTCAGGCTGGCTTGTTAGCTGCGGGTTACACAAAGTTCTTTTTGTTCTTATCCCCCCTCCCTTCTGGGACAGGAAATTCAATATGGCTGTGGTTTTTTTTCCTGTGTGGCCTCCCTCTGGCCAACTACTTTTGGGGTGTTTTGAGCCGCTGCGATGGGCAACAGGGAGATATTGCACACTGGCAGGGAAGAAGCTCATAAATATACAGGCCATGAGCCAAGATCACAGGATGGAGGATGAGGATGGGGCAGTAAGGTGGGGATCCTGAGCACTTTGGGCAGAACTGGGACGTTGGGGCATAAAAGCTGCTGGCTGACTAAGCAGATCTATCTGACCACGTAGCCCAGCCCTGGTTGTTACGACTTACAGGTGATGAGGTTTGATTTGAAACGGGATAGGGCCAGAAACAGCATCCTCCAAGCAGGGGCAGAGCCCAGAATGGAGGGAGGGTGCTGGTGCAGGCAGCTTTCCTGGAGCTCGGAGCAAGCGCTGTTCATGGCCACTGCTGCAGTGCCAGATGAGAGCAGGTCGGGCCCGGAGGGGAGAGGTGGGGGCTGAACTGGGCTCTGGAGTTCCTGGCACTCTCCAGCTGCAGGTGAAGAGCCGCTTGGGCAAGCATCTCATGGCAGCTGAAAGTGAGTCCCATGATTGCTATCTCAGCAGTCAAAAGTGCACCTCTAGCCCTGGAGAACTCGCAGGATCCCATGGTGCTGAGACACGCCGGAGGGGCCACGGGATAGAAACAGCGCCCTGCTGCACAAGGGGCCCAGGCACAGCCATTCCCATGGACATCGGGGAGAACACCACCTTAATTTGTGTGGGTGGTGAAGGGGACAGCCAGCTGAACCCAGACCCCAACATGCCATGCCCCAGGCGCTCTCTTTAGAGCAAGGGGGCATAAGCAGGCCCATTGTCATGATCACTGGATGCGTCTGCCACGATCCTCCTCCTCGCTCCACGCTCTGCCTGGGCTGAGTCCCATGGGATGTGCCCCAAGGGAAGGGTGCTCACACCATCGACTAACGAGCACCATCCACACCCACACAAGCATATAAAACATTCTGTGCTGAATTTTCCTAGGGGAAGGAAAGAGTCTTTTGTTTGCAGGATGGGTGGTTGGCATTACTGGGAAGATCTTCCACAGTTGGCATTTTCTTTTCAAAGATCCATCGGAGTGATGATTAAGCAACTTGCTTTCAGTTAATTTGAGTGGATGGAACCCAGTCGCTCACCACTGAGTTTCAGGGGAAAAATTTTTTTTTTGTAATGATGTCATTTTATACATTTGTTCAGTAGCCCCATATATTGCACTAGAATTATTCATGCTATGGCATATGTTCCAATGAGTTGTTTTTATAACTTCCCCACTTCCTTAAATCATCTTTCGCCAGCTGCCCTATTGTCCTGCTTCACCTGGAACTTGGTCTCCTGGAAGGAGCAAGTGAAACAAGGATCTCCTCAGATGCAAGAGAGAGCTGCAGGTCATGAGGTAATTAACAGGACAAATATCTAAATAAGCCCTTGTACGATTGGTTTGGCATTGGCATGCTTCCAGATGAGGCTTTGGTCCTGCCATCAATTACCACATTTTGTGTGTGTGTGTGTGTGTTGGGGGTGAGAGACAGACAATTACAGCTTCCAGTCATAACTCTGCCATGTTTTCCTGACACATCTTCCATCTTCTTGTTTACTGCAGAAAATTTATTAAGATAAGGTCTCAAGAATGGTAGCTGGGTTGGGAGGGATGACATAAGAGGTGAGACTGAAGGAACTGGGTCTTTTCAGCCTGGAGAAGAGGAGACTCCGAGGGGATCTTTTAGCAACTTATAGGTATGTGAGGGGATATCAGGTGGAGGAGGACTGTGACCTGTTCTTCCCTGCAGAGGAGGGCAGGATGTGTCCTGACGGGCCAGAGTTCAAGGAACCAGGCTTCAGGTTGGATGTCAGGAAGTACTTCCTGACAGTTGGGACCCCTAGGATATCTAATGGGCTTCCAAGGGAGGTGGTTGAGACCCCATCAGTGAGGGTGTTCAAGGAACAATTGGGCAACCACACGTTGGGGATTACTTGAGTGGAGCTGGCTGGAGCCAGGGGTCAGTCTAAATAGCCCAGGAGACCCCTCCCGATGTGCTTTGTTTCTATGTAAACTGACAGGGTAGCTGTACCATGCACTCTAGACCCTCCATCCTGAAGAACACTTAAGGAAACTGATGGATTCACTAAAAGATAGAAGACTTGGCCTGGGCTGGCCATGCCAAGCCTGCCATCCATCCATGGGCATCTGGAGCACATGGGGGTGCTGCTGGGCATGGTGCCTGGGTCAGGCATGTGCAGGAACACTGGTTGTGCGAACAAGGATTGGGGAGAGAACAACAGAAAACCACCAGAGGAAGCCGCTTGCATGCTTCTCTTTAAAGAATTTTATGAACAGGTGTGGATGGTCCTCCAGGAAAAGCTGATGTTTTGCTGTTAAATAAGTAATGTGTGAGCATCGCTAAATCTGCATTGTGGAACATCAGCCTTGAAGTAGGCACATAATAGCCTTGAGTTGTGTGACATGAAAAATGGTTTAAAAATCTCTAGTTCTGAAACACAGAAGAAGAAATAACCTGTTAAGGTACCTTTAAAAATCTGTTCTCAATGCAGCCATGACTGATCTGATTCCTTCATGGTGGTTTTGAAACTGCCCTTCCTGGCAGAGCCCAACCCTCAGCTTAGCCCTTGATCCTGATGGAAGCCTAGGCCTCCAGGAAGAATGCAAGAAAGAAACGGAACCCAAGTGTCGGAGTTCATCCTTTTAGGCTTCTCAGACCATTCTGAATTGGAGATTCCCTTGTTCTTCCTCTTCCTCCTGGTTTATCTCATGACCCTCACAGGAAATCTGGGTATGATTGTGCTGATCCAGACAGATCCCCTCCTGCAACTGCCAATGTATTTTTTCCTCAGCAACTTGGCCTTCATTGACATCTGCTACTCCTCCACCATCATCCCCAGGATGCTGCACGACCTCCTTGCCCTGAGAAAGGCCATTTCATACATGGCGTGTGCAATCCAGTTGTGGTTCTTCAGCTTCTACGCCACCACGGAGTGCTTTCTGCTGGCTGCCATGGCGTATGATCGCTTTGTCGCCATCTGCAACCCACTGGTTTACCCTCTTGCCATGGCCAGGAAGGTCTGTCTGCAGCTCCTGGCTGCATGCTACCTGCTGGGGCTTGTGACAGCCTTTGTCCACGCCAGTGGCACCTTCAGACTCTCCTTCTGCGGACCCAATGAGGCCAGCTCCTTTTACTGTGACATCCCTCCCTTGCTGCGGATCTCCTGCTCAGATAACTCTACTTCCAGGGTGGTCCTCTATATCCTCTCCACTTTTGTCGTGCTGCTGAATGCCGTGACAGTCCTGGTATCCTATGGCTATATCATTTCCACCATTTGCAAGATGCGGCCATCCACAGGCAGGCACAAGACCTTCTCGACCTGTGCCTCCCATCTGACTGCCATCGTCTTGTACTACGGTTCCCTGACCTTCATGTATGTGCAACCCGGGGGGCTTGAGGCCGTGGAGCACGGCAAAATCGTGTCCGTCTTCTACACCATTGTGATCCCCATGCTCAACCCCATCATCTACAGCCTCAGGAATGAGGAAGTGAAGAAGGCCTTGAGGAAAAGGCTGAGCAAAGCAATCTCTCTTTCACAGCCAAAGTTGTGAGATGGGCAGCTGGTGCCAATCTTAAGAATGCTGTTGGGTGTTGCACCCTTGGACTCATACAGCCGAAGTGAGGACGACACGTTCCATGCCTTTTTCCAACCATTCAACCATCGAAGCCTTTGTAAGCCTGACTTTTTGAAAAGAGAGCATCTTGAAACACTGTTTATTTTCCAATTTGTAGTCTGAGGGCTTCTTTACAAAGAGAGAAAAGTTTAAGTCATTTATAGGAATGTGAACTGAATAATGCCAAGAATCAACTTGCCAAGTTTAATGCCTTTCTGCCTTTTAAAACTCTGCCCAGTCAGCAGTCCTTGGAATAATATGAAATATTTATATATAGTATTCCAAGCTTTCAATTAGCTTCATTTCAGAACTAACAATAGTGCCTGGGATGGATCATCTCTTCACTCTGTTATAGGGTGCTCAGAGCACCTGGTTTATTCTGCCTTATACACGGCTAGAGATAAATGAAGACAGGTTCAGGATGGGTTGTGGTTGTCAGTGCCGGCTGCAGGTCCTGGCAGGCCCTTGCCAAGCTGCCTCGGAGGACACCCTCCCCAGTAGGTCTCCCTCCCCACCAGGGTCACCAGCCTCCTTTGCTCCCCCTCCTCCTCGCTGCCTGGCAGACGGAGATCCCGTGTGCACACAGGAAGGGGCATCCGCCACTCCTGCTCCACAGGCACACCATTGTCTGGGCCATTCCTGCCACTGGGGATCAGGCGGTCCCAGTCCTTGGAATGGTGCTGCCCTGTCCATGCTTGCCTGGTCCCTGCAAATATGTTTGTGGGCAAAAAGGTAGACTTGAACAAGAACAGTCAGTCAGATAGACAAGTCTGCTGGTTGCACACTTCTTATTTTCCAGTCTCGAGTTCAGTTCATCCCAAACTCGGAGAATTTTAAAAAGGCTTATATGAAAATATGCATGCATTGCTGTGCTGATTTCTCTTAATCCGTGGGGCATGTATGGAATGCAGTTTAACGCACATTAAGAACATGGGACTGGGACTCAGGCGATCTGGGTTCTAGCCCCACTCAGCCATGGAGCCCACTGGGTGACTCTGGGCCAGTCTCAGACTTTCAGCCCAACCTACCTCACAGGGTTGTTGTTGTGGGGATAAGATTGGGAACAGGAGGAGGAGCATGATGTAAGCCGCTTTGAGCTGACTATAAGAAAAAAGTGGGATATAGATTGATTGAATGAATGAATGAATGGATGGATGAATGAATGAATTCAGGTTGACAGTCTAGACTATTTTCCTAATGTTTCAAAAGGAGAAAAAAGCACCTGGTGAGAAAAGGGCCATGGCAATCGCACACCATGGCTGCATCATTCTTTGTGAAGTGAGAGAGCTGCCAGACCCGCAGGTCCCCCTCGTTGCAATCTATCTTGGCATCGGCACAGGCAGCTTGGTGTGTAGTCTGGGGGTGCTTGTGCTGAGTGGGGCCCGTTCTTGACTCCGCACCCCCATGTCCTTTTCCCTTTGCCGCACGTCCTGTGCTGATGTCTGTTACTCCACTGCCATCACCCCCGAGATGCTGGTGAACTTGGGAGTGACACTTGCAGCATCCATGCCACAGATGGGCCATGCGATCCTACTTCTCTGGCTCGTGCGCAGGGCCTGGCGAGGGGGCCAGTCCCCCACATGCTGCGGACCATTCAGTGGGACTCCTCAGATTCTGAACAGGAGCGGGAGGAAGAGCATGTGGGGAGGTGAAGCCTGTGAAGCTCCTTCAACCGTGCCTAGTAACGTTTCTCAGGCTGAGCGTGACACTCAGCCTGTTTGGGAAGGGGAGGAAGGGTTTCCAGGAGGGCAGATCCAGACCTTGACCCAGTGGGGAAGCCTTGGGAGAAATGAGCTCCTCCACTGGATGGACTGTGCTGTTCAAGCTGTCTTGCCCTCTAGCAGAGAGAGCCACCCTGAAGGTGGAGCCAGACATTTTACAGAAGGGGAGGGACTGAGCAAAAGTGTCCAGTTTGGATTTGGCTCTTTACATGAGCAGGAGCTTCTCCTTCCAGCTTTGGTAGAAGGTTATTTAGTGCTCAAACTGTTTTGTTATCTGAGGAGTCTAAATCAAAGACCTGCATTTTCAAAGGGCTGTCTTGGGCTTTGGAACCAGAGGGAAGGAACCAGCTCCTGACCAGGCACTGAGGGTTTCATTTTGGTAGTGTGAGATATGACAAAGGCTATGCCATCTGTAACCCACAACAAGGTTATTATGCCTTGGAAAATGTGTGTCTTCTTCCTAACACCTGGTTCCTGGCTGGGTTCCTAAATGCAGCCATGAACACCTCCTTCACTTTCTGTGACCCCAGCACCACCTACAGTGTTTCTTTGGCAGCATTCCCCCTCTCCCGACACCCTCTCACGCTGATGCGAGCACTTACTGGGAGCCACCACAACCCTCGGAGGGTTTGAGACTCGGCTCCAGCTGCTGTGTGGCCCAGGGCAAAAGTGCGTCCATCTTCTGCACTGCCTTGATCCTCATGCTGAGCCGCTGATAGACAGCTGAGGAACAGGGAGTTTAAGGGGGCCCTGACAGAATGGTGGGCAAGCCAGAAATTCTTGTTTTAGCACGCGAAGCATCTTAACCTCTGCATAATTTAATGCACTCATAAATAGGACGGTATGCATTGTTTTCATTGAAAAAGGGATTCTTCATAGTTCTGTTTGTACGGTGTTGCAGTTGCAATATGGCATGTGCAGATATCAGTCTTAGCGCCAGAAAGACAAATTCCCTGGCCATGAAGCCACCTTGGAGGAACCTTGCATTTGGGGAGGAGACCACCTATCTTGGGCTAGCCAGTGTGAATGAGATAAGAGTCAATAGGGAATAACATTCTGTCATTTTTTTCAGAATATTCTGTAATAATATTCTGTCATTTTCCCATTAAGAATGCTGTAATTCTTGATGGGAAAAGCCAGGTATAAGCCATTTCCCCTGAAAGAAAGTAGGCAAACCAACCCTGCAAGGAGGATGACCTTTGTCATGAGACACCCAGAAATTACCTCATCAACAGCAGCCAGAAAACTTGGGCAGGAAGCTTGTTACCGCTTCAGAAATACTGAGTGAGATGGTGACTCAATAGGGATATTTGTTGCTTGTGCAACAGTGGGTTAGCAGCTTGTGCCTGCCCTGTCTTTTCTGCTGCATAAACTTTGCATTTCTAAGTGCTCTGTGTTTCTTCGTGAATGTAAAACTAGGCCCTGACCCAAACCTTTCAAGGCAATCTAGTTGGCAAGCACCTCCTTTTCAGATGCATTGCTCCCTAAGATTAACTGATGTATCAAAGATTTGAACAACTTGCAAATCAAGCGCACATATGTGCCTTATTCTTCCCACATCATCCAGAAGGAACTGTGGGAGACGAAGGCTTGGATCCCGAGCATCTTCTGCAGGTGGGTCCATCCTGGGGATGGATTCCCACTCTGAGGTTTCTCCCACCAGCAGAAGAGCAGAGGAGACTTTCACCCCCTCCATTCCTCGCTGCAGCTGCAGCTGCTTGCACCTTGGAGGGCAGGGATCACCCAGAGCAGCGTGCCAGGGAGGGAGGCGTCATCGGCACGCTTGCCTCCCCTTCCCCACCAGGACCCCCATGAGATGGAAAGTACATAGAAGGAGCCCCTCAGTTTGAGAGACATTTTAATTCAAGGTGTTGGTAATGACCTATAAGGCCCTAAACGGCTTGGGTCCTGGTTACCTGAAGGAGCGCTTACATCCATATATGCCCAGTCGCCCCCTGAGATCGGCAGGAGAGGCCCTCCTCCGGGAGCCCTCAGTGAAGGAAATTAGGAGGGTGGCTACTCGGAGGAGGGCTTTCTCAGCGGTGGCGCCTAAGTTATGGAATGCGCTCCCCAGAGAGGTCCGCCTGGCGCCGTCGTTAGTTGTTTTTTGGCGCCAGGTGAAGACCTTTTTATTTAAGCAACATTTTAAATGTGAATACCACTGAATTTTATCTGGCCAGGGAGGCTTATTTTATATTGTGTGTTTTAAATTATAATGATTATCTATATGTATATTTTAACTTATTGGTTTTATTTATTGTTGTAAGCTGCCCCAAGGCTTCGGCGAATGGGGCGGCATAAAAATGTTTTAATAAATAAATAAATAAATAAAATATGCCATACACCTTAACCTATTGACCATGGTCTTTCAATCTCCATGAAATATTCTGATGAGGTACAAATTCTTAAAAATTCAGTAAAGTTTTGACAGCAGGTTCTCTCCAGAACATCGCTTAGGTGAGGCTTCTTGGTTCCAGGCCTGAAGAACTGCCCCACCCCCAACAGTCACACAAATCCAAGTATTTAAAAGAATAGTAACAATGTCTGTGCACATTTTATTTATTTTTTATTTATTTATTTGGAATTTTTGTATGCTGTCCCATTCACATAAGCCTCGGTATGGCTTCCAACTTCATAAATAAATACATATACAAATACATACATATAAAATCTGGAAACATCCTGGTGCAATATTTTAAAACCAATAAATAAAATCAACAATTATTAAAACATCATTTAAATAAAAAGGTCTTGGCCTGGCACCGAAAAACAAATAACGATGGCACCAGGCGGACCTCTCTGGGGAGCGCATTCCAAAGTGGGGCACCACCGCAGAAAAAGCCCTCCGGGTACTTTGCCTCCTAATATCTTTCACGGAGGGCTCCCAGAGAAGGGCCTCTGCCACCGATCTCAAGGGGTGGGAGGGCAACTATGGACGCAGGCGTTCCTTTAGATATCCAGGTTCCAAGCCGTTAAGGGCTTTATAGGTGATAACCAACACCTTGAATTGGGCCCGGGCTCTGATGGGGAGCCAGTGAAGCTGGTAGAGGACTGGGGTTATATGAGAACAATGCCCAGTCCCCGTCAGCAACCTGGCAGCTCTATTTTGCACCATCTGAAGTATCCAGACCGTCTTCAAGGGCAGCCCCACATAGAGTGAGTTACAGAAGTCCAGTCAGGAAGTAACCAATGCATGTTTCACTGTCACCAGGCAATCGTTCTCCAGGTAGGGACGCAGCTGATGGATCAACCGAAGCTGAAGGAAAGCACTCCTCGCTACCGCAGTCACTTGAGCTTCCAGAGACAGCTCTGGGTCGAGGAGCACTCCCAGGCTGCGGACTCTGTCCTTTAGAGGGAGTGCAACCCCATTCAGGACAAGGTCCAAGTCACCTACCCCAGAGCCCGAACCACCCACCAACAGGACCTCCATCTTGTCTGGATTGAGCTTCAGTTTATTGGACCTCATCCAGCCCATTACCTCAGCCAGGCACCGGTTCAGCACAGCCACTGCCTCACCTGGATTGGTTGAAAAAGAGAGGAAGAGCTGGGTATCATCAGCGTACTGATGATTCCATATCCCACACCTCCTGATGACCTCTCCCAGCGGTTTCATGTAGATGTTAAATAGCAAGGGGGACAAAATGGACCCCTGCGGAACTCCATGGCATAACTGCCATGGCGCAGAGCCATAGTCCCCCAGCACCAACTTCTGGAATCGGCCATTGAGATAGGAGCGGAACCACTGCAAAGCAGTGCCTCCTACTCCCAATCCCACTAGCCTATCTAGAAGGATACCATGGTCGATGGTATCGAAAGCCGCTGAGAGGTCCAGGAAGACCAACAGGG